ATCAATATTTAATTATAATGTTTACAAAGACTGACAAATGATTTCGCTTGAGAAATACGTTTTTTTAATTATACTGTATATAATGTTTACAAAATACTACTTCAGGTTTTAGAGTTTTTAAGTTAACAATTAAAAATGATTGAAAAAGGTTTTTACACACATCACCATGGATGGACAGATTGGACCAATCATCAATCTATGATTATCATTATATTTTTATTAAAGAGAACATATTTAAGAATGAAAGACAAAGTGCACATAATATTTATGAAATAATATAGTTTTTAGTCTTTTGTTAACTGCACAAATTTTTTCATGTTGATCGTATAATTTCTTGAAGTTTCTTGAGGTCTTATTAATATTTCGCGTGAAATATTTCTTGGCCACATTCATTATATCATTATAATATTCTTCTAATTTTATTTTTAGGTTTTCGTATTCTTCTTTCAAAGACTATCAACAATATATAAATTTTTTGTGTATATAAAACTTATTTCTTCAGATCAGAAAAGAAAAACAATTCTTCTTACTTTCAAAATTGTCTCTAAAAATAATCATGCTTTGGTAATACTTGCTTGTTTATAATTTTCCCAATTCCTCTTATTGATTTATGTTTTATTTTTTGTTTTAGTACTATTTGGAATCAAAAAAACGGCTTTTGAAAGAGAAGAAACATAGATAGTGATAAACAATGATAATAACCAGTAAGGGTGTATATATAAAAGAAAATATTTTGAATAATTAATAATTGAATAAATATTTTTGAAATAATAAAAACTGATGGATAAAAAAATTGTGAAGATGATGTTTGTAATAGTGTCATCATTGTCACTATGAAAATTGAAAGAATCAGAATATTGGCTTCAGTGTTCGAAATTCAATCGGCGGGGTCGGCGCACGCAGTAAGTCACACAAAATCAAAAATTTAACCAATATGAGCATAGTGGAATTTCGTAATTATCACGAATGTGACTTAAAATGTCGATCTTTTTTATATTGTGTAATGGTAATTTT